AGAGGATGCGGCAGGTCCTTTTCGTAAAGTCTTCCAAAAAGCGTCGCCGTTACAAGCGGTTTCGATGTGCTGTGCTTACTTTTCAAACGTCCGTCACGTAGCACCTAGTTGAAAAGAGAAGGAATGACGCTAATAGTCCGCTAACAAAGTAGCAATATTGCATGGTACAGAAAGGATAGGCCTTAGATGTTGAATATTGTGATTAACACTTTTAAAAGACAATCATGAGAATGAAAGAAAACAGAATTCTGTCTGGTTCTGTCGTAGCCTTCTCACATTTCCTTGGACCTGAAGGTCTATAAAACTTCTTCTAGCTCCATCTTTGGGAAAAAAAGATCATTTTCTCCACCTCATAAGAAGGTGAGAGTGAGAATAACTGATTTGTTCAGGTCTCATTAGTAACTCATACATGGCAACGAAGGTTATATACATGTCTAGGACAGTAATTTGAAATCTTTTTTGATTTGTAGACCCCAGAATAATTTCCAGATGGAAGTAGAGAATTTCAAGCTACTGGCCGTGTGTTGCTTTTCTTAGTTACTTTTTACAGATCAATTTGAAATCACTGTTGTTCATAGACTGTGAACACCTGCAACTTTTTAAGAGCCTCGATGACAAACAATAAGCATGTATTTGTTAAGAAAATATAAAATATTTTTAAAATTAGACCGTGATCATATGTTATCATACCAATAAATCCTTTGATGTGTATTTTTTTACAGAAGTCCCATCAAAACAAATATGCAGGATGAGCAATGCTTTTCCATTCTCTACCTTGTAAAAAAATCACCCTTGTTTCCCCTAAAACTTTTCAAGTCTTTTTCACTCTCTTCACTGTCTCTTGTAAACTATTAAATACCTCTTCCAACTCAATCAAGATTTCATCTAGCCTCTTACATAAATGTTATCTAAGGTTTATGAATGAAAACATGTTTTGGCAAAAATATATGATGAAGTTTCAAATAAAAAAACCAAACCATACAAAACTCACAAAAATCCGTCTTAATATTTTTAACTGCCTAGGATCTCTGCCTTTATGCATGATACTCATTAGTACTTTTTCTTGTTTGGACAATTTCTCAGAGTATTTGATTTCTTTGTCTCCTAAAATGCCCATCAGCAGAAACCTGCAGAAAATAGCTCCTTGAAAGCTGCTATTTATAGATTTGGAACCTGAAGTGGGAAGGCATATTTGCTAAAGAAAACACTGAAGATATTCTCAACTTTAGCATTTATATGTTCTTATCAATAAGGATTAGTTCAACCCATCCATTTAAATGGCCCCTTGAGTTATGGTCTGCAGAACCAAAGAAAGTGGTTCTTGGATGGGACTTTGATTCCATATTGGTTTCCAGCACCACAGCCTGGAAAACCTTAGGTCGGACAGCTCCAGGGTGTCCCATTACCTCGAACTCCCCGGAGGCCAGCTGCACCCCACTGTACAAGACTTCTGGAAAGACGTAGTTAGTGCCAAACGTGCCGCTGAGGGAGAACATCTCAAACTTGGTCTGAGCCGTCTCCACCGGCTGCCCACACGTGTTCGGATCTGTGCTCTTGCACTTGAGCAGCGTGCATATCTGCGGGGAGGAGGGTACAGAAAGGCGAAATACCACTAAGCATTCAACAATCAAAAACTGGATTTGATAGCAAGAAAAGTTCTCATGATGCAGCAATGGACAAGGGGTTTGGGGTGGCTGGGATGTAGACATATACAACCCACATTCACCCCTAAAAAAATCAATTACCTGCCAATGGTATTTTATGAGAGAACCGTGGAGTCCATCAAATGCACCCAGGACATAAACTTCATCTTTGCTCTTGTTTGACATCCGATAGATCAAATGACAGCAGAGGTCTCCTTGGCAAACTGTGTAATTTCCAGCCTTGCGCCTGAGTTCAGTGAAAGTGAATATATCCCGCCGGACAGCTCCCGGAAAAGCATCTTTTTCTCCTGGAAATTTCTTGATGCTTCTGGCATACGAGCTCCAGTTGACAGCGGGAGGGTAGGTGGGGTCAAGACGGGGGCGTGCGCTCAGCTCTGCTACCAGGAGACGTCCCTCCTCCGTCCCACTGTCGTAATGGTAGGTGGCGGGTCCCTCTGGCGTGAAGATCCCACTGCCTGCCATGGACACCCACCAGCCCTCTGTCAGTCCGCACCCCGCAGCACAGCTGGGCAGGGGGGCCAGCCGCCCCCCGTGCCACACCTGCGGGCTTTTTCGGTGATGCTATTTTCAGTCAACACGTTACGGAGAATTTTGGAAGAATTTTAAAGCGCAGAAACGCTAAAATACCCATCATAGCATAAAACCGTGACCTAAACTTCACAGGTTTTGTGCCTCGCTGGATCTTGAGTCTGAGCCTTAAATGGCAATTTGACACAGAACTATCCCTTTTTTTTTTTAAGAACTTAGTTTCATTAAAATATAGATCAGAGCTCTAAGGCATATTTGACAAAGAAGGAAACCATGGGGGTAATTACGTTTCATGGAAGGAAACCCAGGGCTGTGGCCTAAACTCAGTCTGTTTAGGGCAGGCAAAAATGTTTCTTTGTGGCTTTCACTTTGGCTTCAGGGGAGTTACAGATGCAGCTACAGCAACGTTTTCTCAGTTTACAGAAAAAAAAAGGCAGTAAATATCTATTTAGATCAAACCAAAACATAAATATCTCTAATTCTTCGGCAGCCATAACAACCTGAAAATGTTTTATTCAATATACAAGAGGAATGGTACTTTTAGTTTTAGGTTATTAACTTCTGACTAAAGCCTTTTTTTCTCCACTTAAGTGTTGATTGAATTTTAAACAAAAAATTCTGCTTCTAAATGAAAGGCTAAAAATTTAAGTGGAACTTTGTGCTATTTTTGAAATAAAATTTCAACTTTAAATTATCAAATTTAATGTCATGGACTTTCTAATTTTACCTCTCCCAGAATGTTCAACATTTTCTTGCCTGAAGCTGTTTACTACATTCCATACGACACCAAGAAGAATTTTAGTCTGATTGAAACATTACTTTCCAAAGACTGCTATTTGTAAAACATTTCTGCCTGCTTCTGAATCCAGTACTCTGAAGACAATTTCCCTTTTCCAAACGCAACTCACCTGTCATCGCCAAGTTGATGTTGTGAGTATTTGCTGAAAGTAAATTGACACCCATGCCCATAGCCCAGGCAGAGTGAAACTCAACCGCTGTCAGAAATGGCAGGACGTTCATCCAAGCCGTCGGGAAGAGCACGGTGTCCACCTGCAACTCGCTCACCAGGACCACAGCAGGCTCATGGAAAAGGATGTCGAAGCAAGTGAAAATGCCAAATTTCCCAAAGGGCGTCTCAAAGGTGACGGCTTCTGGCTCTTTTGGGTAATTAAACTGAGTTTCTCTTCTAAACAGGTTGTACTGTATGTGAAGAAAATGGCATATTAGAAACTAAAAATAAGGCAAGATTATGAACAGCTACTTTCGCATCTGAGTTAGGCTTTAAGGCAAAACTAGGGGTTGAGATACTCGAGCTGGCTGGCACAGTGGGTTTGCATCCATCCAGCCCACCCTCTCCCCCTGCAAAATGGGGTGGCTGTGCTCCAGCTGCCTCCAGGAGGGAATGCCCAGCCAGTATTAACCGCTAAACCCTGCCAAGATGTCACCTGCAAAAGTGCTGTCTGGCTTGGCTAAAACTCTGCCGAGGACCAGCTAACATTTCCTGAGCACGGAAAACTGTTGCTGCTTCTTTCCTATTTACTATCATAAATATAGATCCAGATCATCCTGGATTGGTTGTCACTCTACAATAGTGTAAAATTATTGTATAAACCAGCTGAAATTCATGCCAGAGAGATGAAAAATATACGGATAATCAATTAGAGAGTGATGCTGAAGCACCTCCTTACCTTGTGGTAACGAGCCACCAGTTTCCCCTCTGGGTCAAAGACGACATCAGTGTTGTACTGATAGCGACCGTCGCTGGGGCAGCCGGGATCACTGGAGTTACACGGCTTCTTGTCCCCGATGTTTGCAACCACATAGAGGGAGTTATTCCTGGCCATGCAGCTGAGTCGTTCCTGCACCGGAGCAGGGGCAAATCTAATGCATTTTTGGTGAAAGAAAAAACCAAAATTTTACAAGTTAAGTTTAAATTCAATTAATGTAACAGTTTAAGTTCAGATGTCAAAGAAATGCATTCAAAATTGCTATTCCCTTAATTGCACATCCCCAGGCACTGAAAAAGTGACAGATCAAGTCATAGTTTCTGTTCATTTTCTTCTCTGTTCATAGTATCACTTTAAATTGCCAGTCTCTTTTAGCTTTGAAAAATGGTCTCTTTTTTCCTGTACCCTTAACAATGTTACTTTCTGTGTGGATATGATTCCCAGCTAACACACATACAAAGGTAGGGATAGCTTCAGAAAACAAGGCAAAGAATAAATCAATATACAGACATAAACTTAAAATAACTTAAAAATAATTTTTGAGGCAAATCTAAGCCTTGGCTTCAAAAGACCATTTTAGCCCTTTTCAAGACTCTTCATTCAATTTAAGGCAGCTGCTCATAAGCCTTTAGTAAAAAGTAGCCACAGCATTTACAGAGCTGAGGACTCCCAAAATCTAGCTTCATAAAGCCTCAGAAGAGAAGAATACAAAAGCTCAGCTTAGCTTAGGGATGAACATGGTCCTCGTGGTGTCCTCTGCTGACACATGTCCAGGGCAGCCCTGTGTGACACAGCACACTGTGCAAGCAGTTGGATTTCTAAAAGGCCCTTCTTTCAGATCTAGATAAATATTTTGTGCAATTTGATTTAGAAATCACCCAGCTGCATGAGCTGAGGACTGAATCACCTTGTCTAATCTATGCATCTGACATGATAATAAACTAGCTTATACTTACAGAAGATTTTCACAATTGATCTGAAGTGATAAAGTTTTACATACTTTAAAAATCATGATTTTGCTTAAAATTTCCTCATTTTCCTCCTTTTGCAATTTTTAAAAGTGAGACTGTCTCAATGCTTTTTACTTTGCATATTCCCATTACTATTTAATTAAGAGTTCTTTTTGATGCATCTCATTTCTGTGGTACTTGGGATTTTTAATAGATTTAAAAAACTAGCAGTTCTTAGGCATTTACTGGGAGCAGCTCATGACATCTTAAGACACCGCTTTGAAACCACACAAATCACTGCAGAAGGAATCACCTTGTGGGGTCGGTGCAGGGAATCCAGTTCACCGCCGGATCAGGGATGTCCTCCAGGTAGGGGTAGATGGTTTCTCTCGTGAAAAGCCAGCCGTAAATGCCGTCTTCAGGAGTCACAATGATGTGGGCGCCCTGACACAACAGGCTCCGTTAAGAATTCACCCATCAACAGATAACCAGGAGGGTCAACAGGAGGAGAAAACACTAATTAACAACGCTTACGATACACCTAGTACCTGCTGGGCGGCTTCCCTGATGGCCCCTTCCAAGACATCCATGTTTTTGTTCATCAGGGCCAAAGCATCGTCGGGAGAAACGGGCTTATTCGTGGCATCTGGCAGGATGACGGCGTGCTCGTAGACGGCGGCAATGAAGGTGTCGGAGGCAAAGGCCTGAAGGACCGCGAGTGCAAACACCGCAGCGTGCAGGAGGGGCTGGGAAGGGAGCATGGCTGATGCCTCGCAGCTCCTGAATGAGGCATGGGGAATATAAACCAGCTAGAACGAGGAGGAGGAGGAGTAAAGACTAATAAGTTTGTTTTGGAAATAATCTTCTGTTGAGTAATCTGGGAAGGTACGGTAAAGTTCTGCCAACAATCAGGACGTTTATTTATAGTAAGAAGTCAAAGAAACATTTCTCTGAATTAGATCTTGTTTCCAATTTGAAACTCTGTTTAAAAAAGGGGAACAAAAGGCTAAGAGAGCATGTCAGCAGCAATGCTGACCTACAAGGGGCTTTGTGGAAGGAGCACTTGCACACTCCATTTGTACATCCCTCACCAGGCTTCCAAACCCACCTCAGGGCCAGCCCAGACCCCCTGGTTAGAGCACACCACGTCATGTAACCTTACGTTAGAGCACACCACGCCATGTAACCTTACTGCACGGGGCTGCCGTCGGTTAAAATCTCAGCCAGTGCCGAAGGCAGACCGCCTGCGGGAAGTACAGCCCTCGTGCTTCAGGGTGTAGTGACGAGAGACGGGGTCCTGCCATGCCTCTTGCCTTTGGCCAATAGCTCCTGGGGGTTGTAGCAGGTACACTGAGAGCGTCCTCCCTCCCGGGGTCACACTGCAATACAAACTAACCCTTGAACTGTGCTGAGCTCTCCGCCTAGAGCTAATGGACTCGCTTGTTTGTGAGAAAGAATTAAACAGCACAGTTTTGGGGTTTTTTTAACTGTTTTTGTTACAAAAGGCATTTTTTGCACAATAAGCAATTTGAAATTACTCACATAAAGCAGTGTTTTTCTCATGGAAAGCAATTTTTGCATAGTATTTTGGAAATAGAGTATTACTACTCTAGTTTCAGGTGTTTCATAAAAAAACCTTTGTTAGAACCTGCGGTAAGCCTGTGAGGGTAAAGGAACATAAACTGGCTAATTGTTTACCACCCAGCAAGAAACCAAGGGAAATATTCTTCATCCTGACAATATCTTCCTCTTCACTATGCAATTTCACCCAGAAGTTGTATTTTTGTCCACTAAGACCAAGGTCCCCTCAGGAGAAACTTCAGTGTCCTCTGACAAAACCACGTTGTGCTCGTAGATGGCTGTGGTGTAGCTGTCCAGGGCAGAGGCCTCCAGAGCAGACAGCACCAAAAGCACGGCAGAGGCAGGAGCTTTAGGAAGCCCCATGTCTGGAGCCTGGAAGTCGCCCAAGAGGAGACCAGGACAAGCAAAGATGGGGGGCTTTAAATGGAAATCCTTGCACAAAAACCTGGGAATTTCCCAGAGCAGCAGAAAGCCAACACCAGGAGATGCAATCACCCTGCCCGGAAAGTCTCACAACATCAAAGGCAAGAGAGCCACCAGCATTGAGCAATTCTGCCTTACACAACCGGCAGAGAAGTCACTGCCGTGCTGCAGCTGAAAAAACACGTCTGTTGTCAGATCTGCGACTGATTCAGGCGTGGCATCACTGTAGTCATGCAGTTCAAGGCAAGCCCGGGTCCCAGCAGGAAAAGAAGCCAGAGTTTGGGAAATCTCAGCAAAGACCAGCACGGACACATTCCTGTCCAAACTGGAGGGCGTGGGGT